GGCTGGCCGGGCGTTCCCAAACAGAGCGCCGCAGCGATGGGGACCGCGCGCGCCGTACCGCACCGGCGGCCGCGTAACACCCACTTAAAATTTTTCCGAAAGAAGGGGGAAAAAATACGGTACGCGCACCCGAATAATACCCTCTCGCTCACTTCTTCTCTTTCTCGACGCATTGGTGCGACGGTCTATTCCCCTACCTCACTCCGCTGCCAAAAGTCCGCGCGCGTCGTCGTCTTCCTCCTACGCTGTCGCTGCTCCTCCTGCAGCCGCTTTTCGTCCTTTCTTCTCGATTTCCTTACCACCGCGCCGACTCCCGTAAATAGGTGCATACACGCGTGACTCATGTGTGTAGGTGGGTATTATATATTCATCATCTCCATCATATAATATATTGTCGGTCCGCTATAAAATAATCGCATAATAATATTATATTATTGAGTATATATAGGTAATAGGTAGGTATAATCGTATTTACACGATTTATAATAACACTATCATTATATACAATATTATGTGGGTATAGGTGTTATTATACGCTAAGTTTATGTATCTATATTTGTGCAGGTATGCCCATCGCGAGATATTGTCCGTGATTGGGCCACTTTAAGGCTAATGACGAACACCGATGTTAATCCAAACTTTCTAATTCTTGCAATCTAGCATTCTTGTTTAAATTCATGGTTATAATAATTTTATACCAAAACTATTTATTTTTCAATATTTATATATTTTTCCAATGTTAATTTAATACATATTTGAACAATATGGCTATATAGATTATAATATTCTATTGTTAATTTAATTAAATACATAGAAATTGTACATACCTATTTAAAGGTAGAGTATAGTTCGTTAAAATAATTATAAAACATAAATATTATATTATATTTTATAAGTGCTTATAGTAGGTACATACAAAATTAATAAAGCCACTTTGATATATATATATTATATATAGGTATTATATAATTTATACATAAAGATCATTGAACTATCGTTTGCCGATAATATTTCTTATAGTATTGTAAGTGCATTTTAAATTATTTTATTCTTGCAGTATACTTATACTTATAGAAAGGAATCTATACGCGCGGCTATACCTACTTAGTACTTATACTATATTTAGGTTTACCACAATATTTACTTCTTCGGTCATTTGCACCTATGAAGTTTTCTTTGACTACACATATGAAAACATTTAGTATTATTACCACACACATACCTAAGTTACGCTGTATACATTCTAAAGATCTTCAGTGTATAATTCGTCATTAATATACCATAATTATAAATATATATTAGGTATATTGAATCGGTTACACTCTATGATATGGTAATAAAATGGCCGGTTTTATAGATTCATAAAAATACGAAACTGAAGTTTCGGTAATGTTTTTGAGGTATTTTAAAATGCTATTTCCAATCTAACCAGTTTTTCATCTCAGACATTGCTGACATTTTGATATGGTCAAAATGGTTGAACACTACTGAAGCAGTGCAGCATCTAACCTATAATATGACATACCTAACATATATATGTTACAGTTAATGTGTTGAATCAGTATTATTTTATGAAATAACTAGGTAATTTAAAAAATACCTAAAACGTGTAGGTAATGTACATAATTTATACTTTAACTAGTTATTTTATAGGTATATTACCTGGCATCACTTAGTTAATGTGTCAAATTGTATACAAAATATCATGTACAATATCGTTATTTTACTGCCCATCAGCCCATCATACTATATAAAGATAGTGTTACATTATGATTTGCGGTAACTGGATAGTCACTAGGAACTGATTAGGGTTTTTTTAAGTACACTTGTATTAACAAATGTGATACAAAGCGGTGTCTTTGTAGAAGAAAAAAGTACTATGCAACTCTAAACGTCACAATTGCATGTACAAATAACTAATTTGTATTTAATTTAATTTAAAATAAATAAAATCTTATAATATATTTTAAATTTTAATGTATTCTGTATATTTTAACGTATATCCAACTAAAATTGTATAGAATAACTAGATTTTCTATGAAATAATTAGTTAGAGTATATAATTTTCATGTATGATTTCATACTTTAACTAACATTCGTAGGTAATTCATGAACTACCAAGTTATTTCATAAAATAACGGAAGTATAAACACTTTAACTGTAACATATACATATTAAATTTAATATAGGTAAGGTATAGGTATACATATTGTATAATATTATGACGCTGCGTAATATTATGTTTATTTGTATTCAGATTTAACTCATACATATCTTATAAATGTTTAATTGTCATTAATTTCAAAATGAGAATCAATATAAAAAATATATATATATTTAACAAACAGAATAATAAAATATACTGTAGGACCTCGAATTATCGATTCCTATATAATATAATTTTCCAAATGATCCTAGATACATTCTAATTAACTTAATGTTTTAACTTATTTATTTATTCTATAGTTATGAAAAATTATTATACACGAGCTGCAGGTTTTTTCGTGATACGTTCCGAGGAAACCGAGACTATTATATAAATACTACATTTCTGCAGAGATTTTTGTACTTACGTACATCAGTACCTATATATCTACGCGTACAAATCAGACGACATACTGCATAGTGCATAGAAGTGCAATATAATATAATACAATAATTATGCCAAACTGAACTGCGAGTACTTGTAGAAATTGAACGTGTATGCTGCAAATACGTCATGCAGTGCGTTCGTTCATATCTCTATAGGTATATCTATATAGTATATATATATATACATAATATATTATGTATAATATTATAATTTATGATGATTAATAATAATCCTTTTAACACCCCTGAAATGTATACACCTATTATATAATATAATATACTACAAAGTTGAACTATATAATATAACGTATAATGAGATTTTTTTTTTTGTTATGTGAAGTTCCGTGCGCAACTTGATAATATATAGTCACATACTCACATATAGTTAACCTATACGTAATCATGTCGGGCACAAAAATATTCCTTATTAATGGTTGCCTTTGACTGTTAGTATGAGTGATATAATATATATTATATGTATACCTACACTCAATAACTGTAATAAGTTCCTATATTTATTTTTATTTTTTTTATTAGAAATAAGCCTCGGCAGTGAAGGCCATTGGCTGACATAAATTACATTGTTTAGGAAGAACTATTATATACATTATTTACATACACATATTACAACATAGTTCCTATATATTGTTTTGGCGATAAAATTGTAAAATTATGTATTATGTATATATATAAACATAAATATACACATATATCTGCAGTAGTGTAGACTCATATTATATTATTTATATTGCAGAGTTTAAATCAAAAATGAAGTTATAGGTACCTATTATTTAACACTATCAGTTATTTTCATTATATTATATTGTCTCGCTGAAACAACTAATTTATCAGATCTACACATATTTGTATTTTATTAGGTACCTATTTAATTTTTTACACTGGTTCGATATAGTATGAAATTACTAATAATTTTTCATTAAAAATTTTAATTTCATACATCGCTGTATGTGTTTATAATTTTCAATATAAATACATTTTTTTTTTGTGCATGCCAGATATCGTTTTTTTGTTAAATTACGCTGTAAGCATATACTTTACCTTCACCAGCTGTTAATGGTATATATATACTATATAGGTATGCCAGTTAATCGAAAATATCTAAACAGTAATATTATTTACCTATTTGTTTTAATGTCAACAATGAAAACGCGTTCAGGAAATTAACAAACAATTGTATTATTGTAATAAATGTAGGTTAGGTAGCTATTATAATTTATAATTATCATATATTGAGTATCATTTTAATAATTATCGGTATATTTCAACTATTATATTATCCTTATAAAATATTAATGTCTTTCAATAAAAATTAAAACATACGCCTAAGACCATTAATTGTTGATTTATCCAAATTAATATAATATTATACCTTTTAATTATTAATGTGTCAATAGTAAACTATATGCAAATAATTAATTCGGTCAAACAGAAATTATGAAATAATATGATAATAAAATCACATATGTTATCATATAATGTAAAATATAATAATTTAATTTAACTCACAATAATTGTAATTGTTTGTTTATGATAATTAGATAGAAAATTATGCAAAAAAATACTCTACTAATGCATATATACTTATATAGGTACTATATACTACTAATATATAATTATATAAGTAGGTAGGTATGCCTGTTTTGAAT